CGCACCCCTCCTCCGCGCACTCAGCGGCGCCAGGCCAGGCGCGCACCTGCGGCCGCGGGCACTTACCGTCGTCCAGGTACAGCTGGTCCAACTCTTGAGGCTCTCGCTTGACCGATACGGGAGTGGGGGCCAGACCCTGATTACTGTCCTCACGCACCTCAGGCAGCGGCAGAGGCCGGGTGGCTGCAGGCTCTTTTTCTGGAACCTTCGGCAGTTGGTGCTGCTGGTGGCCCATCCCAGGAGGGCGGGCTGGGCTGCAGGACTGCAAACAGGTCGGCTCTTGGGTACCGGGCGGCAGTGCAGACGAGGGGCTGTGGGGACAGAGCGCTGGCTGGCCCCCCGGGGGACGGCTGCTGCTCAGCTGTGGACTCACCTGTGGCTGCAGCAGGGCGGGGGGCGGCTGCTGCGGGGAGCCGGGGTGCACGCCCACAGGCCGCGGCATCTCGGGGCCGGCCAGGACCCCTCCGGCCGGCCGCTGAAGTCCGAGGGGGCCGTGGCCCGGGCTGGCCATGCCCTTGCTGTAGGGGGCGGAGGACAGGTCGTGGAGCTTCGGGCTGGCGCTGGGCGGCGGCGACATCATGGCGCTCCTCTGGGGACAGGGCGGGAAGCCGGCCACCAGGCAGGACCCCGGGTCGGGCGGCAGGGCCAGCTGCTGGCCGTAGCAGGGCTTCGGGAGCGGGCTCAGGCCCTGGCCCCTTGGTCCACAGGTCAGGGCCGGCTCGTAGTCGTCGGTGGGCTCTGTTTTTATGGCTGGAACTGTGAGAAGAAAAAAAGTTAAACAAACAGGGCTGCAGATGGGTGCGATGGGGCGGCCGCGGCCGGGACGCCCCTGAAAACAAACAGCGCCTTGACTGGGCCTGCGTCTCCCGCCCGGTTCTCCCACCCAATTAAACAGCCGCGCGTGAGTCATCGGCTCCGAGCGCCGCAGCTGCTTCTAATAGCGAGCGCACTATTTTCCTTGGAGTCTCCCACAGCACTAATGTGCTATAAAAATCCATTTGCGAACTGCAGCAGAAGCTCTGGACCCGAGAGCCCGCGGATTTGTAGCAATCAAAGCGGGAATGTGCACTTGGACGGGCTACCGCGTCCGCGTCGGGCGCCGTCAGACAAGTGTCTGCAGCCGGTGCGCGGGGCCCGGTGCGCGGGGCGGGTGCGCGGGGGCCG